GAATATAATTTTCATCTTCTTCCCTACTGTAATAGCAAGTTCTATCCCTTCAATTCAATTTCTTTCATTTTCGTTTTCTCAACAGTTTTCTTTTAATCTGTTTGGAGAATAGTGATCCTTCGAACAACTCCGATGGTTGGGCTCCTTGAGAATGAATTTAAAGACACAAGGTCGTAACCATTGTTCTTGGATTGTTGATTGTAATTGCTTAAAGACCTTAGAAATATTCTTGGTAGTCTTGTATTTCTTTTGTTAGTATTTGCTTTCATTATGCCGTTGAGGAGGTGGCCCGTTGCTCGTGAGGTCGGGTGGGGTATTATTGCTACACGACGAGAACATAGGCGGACCCACATGGGGTCAAATTACGCCAAGAAATTATGATTTTTTTTTTAAAAAAAATAAAATTTGTCATTGTTTTTACGGAATGTCAAATGAAGTCAAATAAAGTCGAAATATTGCATTCTTAATATTATTTCGAAATGCTCATGACCTAATTTTTCGCTCGTTAATGGCCTGCGAGATGGCCATTAGTAGCAAAAGTTACAGAGCGTCAAAGTATATCATTGAAAACTAGTGTTTCAAGAATTTGGATCATATGCTAATTTTAAAAATTCGTCAGCGATGGTATGCTAGTCGAATCCACAAATCACTTGTGTCATGTAGAAGCTCGTTTCGAAAACTACATCGTTGTAGTATCGAATGGTTTAAATGAATATCAAAAATAGTTAAACATTCGTCTCAAAAAGAGACATCTAACTCGTCTTTTCTTTAAAAAATTTCAATTATTTCATTAACGCTCGTTATTCTTGCATGACTAATTTCTCGATATAATTTACATCATTTTATTAGGAAACTTTTTATGGAGTATGACGTCAAAATTTTAGGATCGTTACATATTAAATGTAATTTGAATTATTTTCAAATTATATTTTCTTATTGATAATATTGACAACATTGATAATAATGTAATTATACTACATTTTCTTGTTATCAAAATATATAGGCAACAATTATAGCAATGTATTGACTTATTTTTATTAATATTATGTTGTTTTCTAAAAAAAATTACATTTTAATTTTTGATCCCACAATATAAAAAGTCTGAGTCCGCTCCTGATCGTTTAATAACCTTACATGGACAAATTGAGGCTTTGACCACATGTAGCTTATGGTGCTAACCGTACCGCGGATGTCATCTTGATTTGGAGCGTGCAGTGGATTTGATAGATGACAATCAATTCACTGCAATGGATCCATGTCGCATGGCTATGGGGAATCGGGTGATGATAACTTTTTCATTCCTTTTGATCCAGATAAGTGGATATGCATTGATTAGTGTGAGGATTGTGATGACCCCTCAAGTTTTGACAAGAAATAGGTGATGATTCTAACGGTGATGTGGCGGAGTGTATTCAAGCGATATATTTCCAAATATGCCAACGTTGCAGCAATTCTGGAGGCAATCTATACTCAGATACACAAAGAAGACACTATCTATTGTGGAGATACACTGAACGAGATCAATGCACAGCTTGTTCAGATGCGTGCCAAAGCTTTTGTCCATCTCGATAGTAGTCGCTCACTTTTGACAGTTACATGATTTCTAAAGATGATCCACAATTGGGTCAATCACGTTATTAGAAGTGGGTAATAGAGTGATTTTACAAGAAAAAAAATTCATTTATGTATTATTATCACATGTTGATGTACCTCATAGCTGGGTTGTACCTTTCTTAGGTGTCAAATGTGATGCTATACATGGTCGTTTAAACCAAATCTCTATTTGCAACATGTTATAAGCAAGGAGTTACCGTTACAAGAAATTGTGTGCCTTTGTTGCTATCTACCAGACTTGGTATTGTGCTAGTGGAAAGGCCAGAGTTATTGTTGGATAATTTGATGCATTATTTATAATTCGCTAATAAAAAATACGTGCATCCAAATAGAATAGAGTAACAACTTACCGAAATCAAGTTACGTACATAATAATGAACAAATCACGATTTGCTCAAACATAAAAAATACAAAAATTCAAAGGAAATGAAATGAATGCTAAAAGGATCAAATGGACATCCGTCTTCCAATATACAACGCTTCTTCCAAAATTAATATAGTACAATATTAATTTTGTTGGGCAAATCAACACTTGAATGTACTCTTCTAGAATGAAATATATCGAATACAAAACTCAAAAATAATTTGAGAATTATTTTGACAAAAATTAGAAAATGAAAGACGTAGAAATCAATTATGTGAAATTGATTTGGAGTAGGGAAAAATGGAACTAAATGTCTCTATTTATAAATTTCAATCGACTTTTTGAATGATTTCAACTTTTAACACATACCACACATTTTAACATTAAATGGTGTAGCATGTAGCCTATCAAATGGTCATGCCTTTTCATCATTCATCTTTAAATAGTTACACCCATTGTAAGCAACACAACTCTTTGTATGCATCTTTTGCTTTTGAAGAAGTGCATATTGGAAACATATTTCAATTCACTATAAATAATACCAGTTATTCCAACAATCCCCACATAAATGGAAGAAGTCGCTCAGAGCAAGGAGGACGAAGAAGAGTACAACTGAAATATAATATATGAGGATCAATAGCTTTCAAACGTTGGTTCTCTATTATATTCATTATTTCGGCCCCGAACCTTCTTAGTTCTGTAAGTGCGCTAGAGAATTCGCTTAAGTAAAATTCTCATAGAAACGATCAAATTAGGACTCGCATAGGTGATATTCTATAAAGAGTAACCTATCCTCTCTAGATAATCCATTTATAAACGGATCCGATACGTTATTTTTCGATAAAATAATCAGTATTGTTCTTTTGAGAGTAACCATCGAATGGTATTATGTCTAGACGTATATGTCGAGACTTACCATTTTACACAGTATTTTGTGTCATTCCATTTGTTAGCTATTTCAATCAAATGATATAATAAATAGGCACAAATTCTCACTAATTAGAAAATCCTTTAAAAAACTTTGAAGTCATACTGCTTCCTTCTAATTTATTGAAAGTTCTAATTTA